ACAAAAGTAGCAAGAACAAATGCGAAACGTCGTGCAGAAAGTCGATGGGATCGTTGGCTCGAAGAAAATTACAAACTGTATTAGTATTGAACTTGACATAGGCTCGATCGGTCATTGGAAAAATCGAGTGAAAGTGACAAGGTACGGATCTGCTTTTGAAAGAAAGCCTGTATCACCTGTCCACCGTGTGCAAACCGTGCACCATAGGTAAACGAAACTAGTGATTTTAATGCCTGACTGAAGTAGCCATTATCGTCGAATAAATCGTTGGCCTTTCTCACAACCTTCGACGGTTCGAGTTTTCCATCGGTATTCGATTGCCATCTTAAATGCTAATCCCCCGAGTGATTCATTATCTTCGAAACGAAATTAGCTATAATTCCATCGGTCGTATTAGCTTCTCCTTTCCAACGAATTCCATCGAATCAAGCAGATATCTCGTGATCCATTAAAGAGAAGCACTTTCATCAGCAGCCGCTACTACGGTGTGTAGATTCCTATGCGAATGGATATTTAAAGTCTCAAATCATGAAAGCGTTCGATAGACGAACGAACGTTGGCTTCAGTCGGATCCAGATAGAAGAAAAAGTGAAGATTTCTCGCGGCGAATTGGCAATGGCTCGTGGCCATCGAAACGCTCAACTTTCCGACCTCGTCGCCAGTGAAAGCACTTCCGTTCTTTTCCAAAACGAGACACGAGCATTAAGGATGCACGCTTGGGTACCGTTCCTACGGATTGCCTAAACACCACTCCCCCGTTTACGTAACACCGTTCGATACAAGTTCCAAGAGAAACGTGTGTCCTGCTCGTGTCTTATCGCAGTAGATACGATTTTCAGACACATCTTGATCTGTAGATGACGGATTTCCTACGGAGATCTAGTTAAACAGGTAATTCGTAGGTTGCTACCATTGAATACCAGCAATTCGTTCAGCTTTCCGGCAAAGGTGTTATCCTTCGCCTCATGAATATTCAATCACGACATCACGCATACCATCCGACACACTTTTTCTACATTTTTTCATCTCTCGTATAGGCCACTGCTGGGATTACTCTGTTTATGCGCGAATTAATTTCTCCTAGAAAGTAACAATGCAGATCGTTCCGCGCTCGAGCGCCGCTGGAATTATTCTCGGTATAAACGAAAGAAGGAAAGAGCGGGGAGTAGACGATCGTTGTTGGAGAGGAGGAATGGGACACTGGTTCTTGTGAACATCGACACCGACCAAGAAAAGTGACGAGAGGAGGAAAGAAACAGAAAAAAAAAAAAAATATATATATATACATATAGGTGGAGGAGAATGAAAAAAAAAGTTCGTTACACAATGGAAAGTGTTCGTCATGAAAGGGTATCGGTGAACTAGACCGCGAAGAAGCGTAGCTCTTTCAAGGCCACGAAGAAAGAGCAGAAGCTGTGACGTTCAGATTTCTTCGAACCGGTTTCCTTCGAAAGGTGGAACGCCGCGTACCCACTCGTTTGACTCGAACCTGCGCGTTCAAGGGCCATTCCTGGTTCTTCCTATCGGAAAAGCAAACAGTACTTGGGGGAAAGACGGGGAAGAAACGATCGGTCGATTTCCATTTCCAGTGGCTGATTCTTCGAGTACAGATCAGAGATCGTTTATACTCTGTTGAACCGAGAGGTAATGCTTCTTGCCTGTTCGCTTTCTTCTCAACTGTTCATCCAGCCGGTGAATTAACCCGTTGGGCCTTGTTATCGTTTATTGCCGCTTTGCGGAAATTGCCGTGCTATCAAGCATCCTGTAAATACCTGATCGAGCAAAGTAAACAGTGTTCGAGTGTTTCTCGAGCGCGACGGAACACCGTCGAGGGGAAGTGTATTGCGATTTCAAAACCAAAATACACGATCAATTCCTTCGATTACGGCAGAGAAACATTTCATGTTATTCTGTCAAATAATTCTCCTATTTCTTCGCGATCCTCGAACAACTGAAATTCGTTTACTTCCATCCCCGGATAAACGCGAGGATATTTTTATCGTTGACAATCGTTCGCCCTCAGGGGCGGGGATCTCGATCGAACAAAAGAGAAAGAGCGCGCGTACGAAAGCAAAATTTCACGCGGGTCCGCGCTTCTCTTATTTTGGCTTTTTCTCCGTTTGCTTTCGGCGAAAGTAAACGGAGGCGGCCGTGTACGCGTTGCAGAGAAAGTAATGGATCGCGGCTCTTAATGTCGGTTCACACGGAATTCGGGATGTGGACAGGCCGGTGTGGCGCCAATCGGCTGCCACCGAACACCACCGACCTATCAAACACAGAGAAAAGCCGCGTGCGACGAACAGCTGGGAAACGAAGCCTACGATTACGCGTGTGTATGTCACTCGTGCAGACGCGTATTCTTCCACTACACGAGGATAGAAAGGAAGAGAGAGAGAGAAGAAACTCTCGGTACTTTCGAGCACCAGAAGAGACTGTACACGATAGAAGTGAGGCTAGTCGTAGGAAGGTGAAAGTTCGTGCCTTTATAGATAGATCCTCTTCCATTCGCTCGTTTCGTCCATCTTTTCTCTCTCTCTCTCTTCTTACCACCTTCTCCTTCGATCGAGCTCAAGCGATTCGACAGACAGATTTTTAGAAAATAGCCAAAAGGAACAATTATTCCTCGACTAATTGACGTACGATGAATTTATAATCCCACGGATACTTTCCTTCGATAGCGTGAGTGTATTGAAATTGGCGACAGCTTTCATCATCCGGTAAGACGGCAAATGGGAATAAATTTTCCCTCCTTTAACAGCGGTCGAAGGTCCGAGAAAAAGGCCAGAAAAAGAATAATTAAAATATTATCGAGCAGGCTAGAGCATTGATTAGCTGCCTACGAATCCAGTTAGAAACTGGAATACATTTTCTGCCGGGTTTCACTTTTCTTGCTACTCCTTCTTCTCTCTCTCTCCCCACTTCCACACTCGTCGCCGAGCTTCTTTCGATCATTTCCATTAAAGACCTTGACAATTCCTCGAATACCTTCCATTAGAGAATTCCTCGTTGGATCTCACGTCTCCTCTCCATCTGTGCCGTTTCCTTCATTTGCACCGCTGGCGGCGGCTGTGCAGCGTAATCAGACTACAAGAAGAAGAAAAGGAACGTGGTCGATGGTTCGTAACTTCCGGCGAAGCGGGTGGCACAACGTGAACGTGAACTTCACACTGTCGTGCATGCAAGAGGTGCACTTTCACTTCTGCTGGATCTACACGACAGAGCCAATGACCTACTAACACATCGAACCGTTCACTCGCCACCATGCTATTCTGGCAAGGCCGTTCTACCTCCATATTCCCTCGTACGCTTCACATTTTTCGATATCCGAACAAATTATCATCTACGAACGTTGAAAGGACAAAACACTCACAACTTCGACGTACTCATTTTTGAATAAGTCAATGGAACAATAGGAACGACGACGTGGACCAAAGAGAAAATAACAACGGATACGCTCCATTCTTCGTGAAACGAACGTATCCTCTCTTTCATCCTTAATAAAAGCTTCCACTTCAATTGTTCTACACGTTCGACTAGAAGACCGTCTGAGAAGTTTGTCGCGATGATACGGCTCGAATCCAGCCGGGTTTCACGACAGCGACGTGGATCGTAGAAGAAGAAGAAGAAAATGGAACGTGTTCGTCGAAGAGACAGCTTCCTCGCCTTGAAATTCCTCCTCTCCCATCGAGCGTACCTCGTCTAACACAATTGACCCATCGTTTCGGCCCCGGAGGATTTTTAATGTCTTACGAAACGGAGTGGCAAGGACCGTTACGCGGTTAAATTGGCCTGAACGTGGTTTGAACTAGCGATTAATGCAGCTGGAACAACGCCGGTTGCCCAATCTCCTCACTCCCTTCTCGATAATTGACCAACAGCAGAGGACGCTGCGTCCCTACGCGCACCATTATCAACCTCCGCGCGTATCATCGAAGCCTTCTTTTTACTTTCACCCGTTACAGAGCTACGTGACGCAAACAACATATTTTCGTCGGCTCGAAAAAGAGAAGAAAACACGAATTCGTTCGATCGCTTCCCTGTTCCCCACTAGGGAAACCCGTTCTCCGCTTCGAGACGTTCGTGGTGCACGCGGTTTCCGGTTTCTCCGACGACCAGTAGGTCAGACCGTGCTTTTTCCTTACAGAATATCGAAAGTACGAATGAAATTGTACACGTTGTTGTAGAAACGACAGAGAATTCTCGAGAAATGAATAAAAAAATGACAAGACGATTTTTTATTGCACGTAAAAAGCCTCGAAAAGCTTCCTAGAATGCTAGCAAGTGTTGTGCGCAGATGGTTCGAGCAAGTACGCGATCCAGTCACGAATAATCGCGTGCATTTCGTCCGAGCGAAATGTGATTCGTGCTGAGGCTCGTTTCGAGCGAACATCGTTGTAAACGATCGACGAAAGATCGAAGCGAGAATCCCGACGTTACGTGTAAGTTCATTGATTTAGAAATCGGCGGCTTTTAAACGAGAAGGGAATTTAATTATCTCGCGTGACGCGATATAATTGCAGCTATTACCCTGACAATGGGATCGATACCGTGGCACCGTTTCTCTCCCTCTGTCCGGGAATCTCGTTTGTTTGCCCTTCTTGCTCAGGTACGTTTTATCACCGTGACTTTTTCCTTAACAAATGTTTCACAGTTTGCTCGGGCTAATTGGAAGAGCCTATTTAACAAATTCTCGGAGATAAGAGGCGTTTCAGGGGAACCATCCGTTCCATAAATAAAAAAAAAAAAAAGAAACTGTATCTACTCTGAGTTCAGAGACTACAGAATTTAAATATTCTTAAACGAATGCTTTTGTAATTACGCGATAAACGTTTCGTTAGAAAAAGTGACAAACGACGACAAACATCGAGCAAAGAACGGTCTCGAAATTACAAACACCGAGAGAAAAATGAATTTTCCCTTCGCAGAAAAGAAATAAAAAAAAAAAAGACGAGACTTTATATCGACTCACCAGGAGTGTAACACTTTGTTCCAGCCGAGCCATGGATGCAGCGAAGTCGTGTCAATGCTTGCTCATAGGAATAGTCCTCGTCGTCTCCTCGAACCGTGCCACAAGTCACACAGAGATCTCCGGATCGAGTCTCGAGAAGCCAGAAGCGATCTTGAGTCCCGGTTACCTCGATTCGCGTAGCAACGATGTGAATCACACCGATTTAACTCTAAATTCCACACGTAGACGTCGATACGTCCGTTTTCCAACTGGTCCAGCCGGTTATTTCTTCGAAGGTGGCGGTCCTCCGATAGGAAGGAACATCGGTGGTGTACACCCTGGTGTTCGTTTCCCGTCTTGGAGACAGCATAAATCCCTCTGGAGGGGTCCTGTATCGGAGTACAATAGACCAGTGATGGGCCATCGAACTCCAAGGCTAATCTTCCGAGACAACGACTTTCCACCCCCTGGGGGAGGCGGCGCGTCCTCTTTCTTCCAGCAATCCAACCACTTGCCCGACTTCGAGGACGAGATCAGAGGTAACGAGGATGCGTTTCGTAATGTACTCTTGGTCCCTTGCATCCTCTCGCTTGAATTTTATCTAATATTTTGATAGTGGATTTGAATAGTAATAGAGTTAGATGAGGTAGTTTGATAGGTTCTTCCCTAATTTGTCTAACAGATGTAATTATTGTTTCAGATCATCGAAAGCAAACGCTCGACGATTACCCTAAGTTAGAGTCAGGTACGTTCCGATCCCGACGCGTGTCCCGGCGAGCGACGTGTACCGTTCAATTGTGGCCTAATCGCACCTGTCGAAAGCCACCCGTTTCGCAGAGTGCCTCCGGTCTTTCGCTAATACCTCAATGAGTGAAACCGATAGCGGATTACGGTAGCCATCGCGCCTCTGGATTTCTCGTGGATAATTGTGAATTAGCCGGGGCGCAATATCCTAAGTCAGCCGGGTGTCGCAACGATTGCGACACCGGTCCCGTTTCCCGTCTCTACGATTTCCGTCATCCGCGCGCCGCTCGTATCTCTCTTACGACAGAGACGAACGTTCTTTCCTGTTGCTTTTTTCTTTTTCTTTTTTCTAACGTCTCGTTAAATCACGCCGCGACTACCCACTTAACTCTTAGTCACCTGGCTGCTTTCGTTCTACCTTTTGTACGCGAATTGCACAATCGTTCGTCTCGTCTCGTTTCCGTGGAAGAGAAAAAGGTATTCCGAAGCTAGGCTTGGAGTAATCAGACGTCGGTTCGATGAGATACCTTCTAAAAGGCTCCGAAGACTCCTCCGTCTCTTTTCTCTTTTCTCCTTTCTTCGAGAAACAGAATATCAGAAGGGGTGAGAACGAAGAAAGAGAGAAAAAGAGAGAACAGTTTGCCCCGTTTTGTGCAGAGCCGCGTCAACAAAGTAGACCGCTGTGGAAAGGTGACGATACGTTGTGCGCTGACGGACGAAGCTGCGAATTTTTTCTAATGTGCTGGATGTCCGCTGGCCTATTGGACGGCAGTTGCGGTGGCATCATGTACGCTTGTTGTCAGCGGCGAGAACCGAAAGGTAGCTCTGATTATAACCTGATCGAGGCACCTAGAGATCAATCTCAGCCACTTCCGTTGGATACTTACACGGAGACCGCCAATGATGATCGTAAGTCCTTCCTAAAAGAACGCATGTCATCCGAACTCTTGCACTAGCATGATTCACCACGCTCTATTTTCTCTTCTTCTATGGAATGCTCTTCCTTCGACGATGTTTCAACCCTTTTCTTTCTTGCTGGACGAAAAGATGTTCCTATTCTCTGTCATACTCTTCTTCTTCTTCCATTTTCAAATCGATTTTCCTCGAATGTCGTACACTTGCACTCTGCTTGCGAATATTACTCGTCTCCGAGACACTTGCACTTTCCTCAGCATGTCACCCGAATGTCTTCACTTTCTCTGTTCTCACCGACACAAAGCACGAGGTGCATGCGTGTACCAACGAATTCCGTCCTAATTCACGTCACTCCCAACTCTCGCATGCGAAACGATCGTTCGCTTCTTCCACCCCACCGTTAATCTTGTCTCAGCCTGTTTGTCAATCGTTCTTGCATGCTGACCGCGATAACAATCGAAAAGTCCATTCTGCACTTCTTCGACGGTCCTCTTGTCACGCGAGTCCTCTTCCGGTCTCCCCCCTGTTTGATCTACGGTTCGTCTCGATTTCGTCGTTTAGCACAACCGAAACAGGACTTCCGTCAACCTGACTCCGTTTACTTGTATCTAACTTACGATCGACCTAATTTCCCTCTCGTGAACGATTTCTTTCGAGTCACCGAGTTCGTGTAACATTCTCTGTTCGTTCTTGCTCGATTACTCCAAGTCTAATTCGGCAAATACTAACTAAAAAGAGACCAACGAGAGGCGCTCGTCGTTGTCGCGGTGTGAAAAAAATAAAAAGAAATGTGTCTGAACGTGTTCCGCTACTAACTCTTCAAGAGCTGCTCGTGAATGATCACTGCAAATTACTACCGAGCCTTTCAGCCTTAACGGAGGATCCACACCCTTGTAATTACAGGCTGCGGGATTCCCGCCTCGAAGCAGACCGCCCAAAGGAGAATCGTCGGTGGCGACGACGCTGGATTCGGTAGCTTTCCATGGCAGGTCAGTTTTTCCATTCGCCAAGTTCGTCCGTTCTCTTCCAGCTCCCCTTCTTTTTAAAACAAAGGAAACCTTCGACTTTCTCAGGCGTACATAAGAATAGGATCCAGCCGATGCGGAGGCACGCTCGTTAATCGATTTCACGTCGTCACTGCTGGCCACTGCGTAGCCAAGTGAGTAAAATAGAAAATTAATTACCTCTTATGTCTCTCCTTCGATCTTTCCACTCTCCAGGGCCTCAGCTCGTCAAGTACAGGTCACTCTAGGCGACTACGTGGTCAATTCAGCCAGCGAATCCTTGCCTGCGTACACGTTTGGAGTTAGGGAGATTCGCGTTCATCCTTACTTCAAATTCACCCCTCAGGCTGACAGGTAGATCGACATTAACGCGCGTTAACCCTCTAACGACGAATGCAGGGTTATTTCGACACGACAGCGATAAAATCAGATTACGTTTGGTACAGGAAATACACCTATTTTACGTATCAAGTGTAAATAAACAAGAAACATATCAAATATATACAGTTGAAAGTATACACATTTATACACAATTCCTTCTTGAAACCCGTGTACGACAGAAATGTTGCTGTGGGTCAAAACGGTCCTGCATTCGTCTCCCGCGTCCCTTTAACACCATCCGCCTTCCGAGGGTTAAATGAATGTAATTGTTCACGACAGGTTCGACGTAGCTGTTCTTCGATTAGACAGACCAGTTCATTACATGCCTCACATCGCGCCGATCTGTTTGCCCGAGAAGAACGAGGAGTTCCTGGGACAGTACGGTTGGGCTGCAGGATGGGGCGCTTTGCAGGCTGGTAAATAAAACAATTTCCTACTTGAAATCTCACAGAATAGTGAGAATAGTCTACTAAACTTTTGTCGAAACGAACAGGATCGAGGTTGCGCCCGAAAACACTTCAAGCAGTGGATGTTCCTGTGATAGACAATCGAGTCTGCGAGAGGTGGCATCGATCGAATGGAATTAACGTGGTGATCTACGACGAGATGATGTGTGCTGGTTATCGCGGAGGTGGAAAAGACTCCTGTCAGGTAGAGTGTTTTATCTAGAAACGAACGAGTCGATTGGAGAGAAATTGTAGATTTCTTTGTTCCTTTCTTCGCAGGGCGACAGTGGAGGACCGTTGATGTTAGAGAAGACAGGAAGATGGTATCTGATTGGCATCGTTTCAGCTGGATACTCGTGCGCTCAGCCGGGTCAGCCAGGGATCTATCATCGAGTGGCTAAAACCGTGGACTGGATAACTTACGTTATCAACTCGTAGCGAGGCGGAGGATTAAAAGAGAAATAGAGACTGTTCTCTGTGGAAAAATGAAACTTTGCATGAAACAAAGTTTCAGTGCCCCGATGGAATCTTTGAGAGTTTCGCGACCGGCCAATGATCGAGGATCTAGCAGTGTGCGGAGTGTGACACGAACGATGTAAATACTGTAGCGATATTGCGCCAACGAAGGGACGGAGAGTGTCTTCGAAGTGGAGGAACACGCATCGATACTTTAATTAAATATATAAATACGATATATCTTTCTAACGAAACGAGGTGATGCGTGGAGATTGTTGTGACCGGTGACATATCTCTTTCGCGGAACGGAAGTTCTCCGACGAGCTGTGTGGACTCCGATACCATGTAAATCGAAGCGCGTGTGATATTCGTTTGTATTCGCGCTTAATAAACGTTTAATTATAATCACTCGACGGTGGTCCCTGTTGTTTGATAGAGAAGGTAGACCTTGGGAAAATTGGGACGAAAGAACAAGCCTTTTACATCAAAAACATACTTTGTTATTCGACAACCGCTATATCTCAACGTAAGCTTAGCATCGCAAATAGTAGAACAACGCGCTTAAGTATGTAATTCCATTGCGTATATAAGTACACATTTATTTCGTTAATTTCTTCATTAACAATAAGTATCCGC